CTGGATGCAATTTTCTTTTTTTAGGGCTGCTAACAGGGGCAAAGAAGCCTATGCTCCTCTTAATAAAGTGCATGGTGAACTCAGGCGATTTAACTTCTCAGTTTGCCATTTGTGACCTTGGCCAACATGTTCCCTTTTCTTAGGAAGCCAAAGTAAGAACTTGGCTTCTAGTATTCTGAAAGTACTGAATTAAGTTTCACGCTTAATTCGTGTTTTATATTACTTCCTTACTTCAGGGGTAGGTGCTTTAGTAAAGTGTATTTTTTTTTTAATTAGCAAAAGTTACAGAATAGCAATATTTCAGTTAACTTTGTATATTCTTTCTTAATTGTTAAATAGCTTTTAATTTGTACTTTGAACAGAAATGACTCCTCATAAAATGAAGGCAAATCCTTTATTAGGGTAGTGAATTGCTTCTCGTTTTGTGGTGTGTCATTGCATGAGAACAAGCAGTTATTTGCTGAAATTAATATTGTATGATGTAAAATAAAGGCTGTGCTAGCATAGTGAATATGGGGAATTTAGCATTCTAGGAAGCTGTCTTCTCTTATCAGGCTCAGGGTATGTTTTTTTTTCCCCTCCTGTGAAGGACTAAATCTGTGATGGTAATCAAACATGCTTCTAGGTGATCTTTTTAGGAAGCAAATGTTTTTGGCTGTGTGTAGCAGCCTAGAAATTAATGAATATGAGAATGAATCACCTTGCCAATCACTGTGATAGTGCCAGCATTGACCATGGCACATGTTAGTGACATCAGTTCTACTCATCTCCTGTCCTAGAACTCTTTCAGAATTGGAACTGCATAGGAAGCTTACCTCTGAGGGAAATTAATTGGAATTAGCCTGGTTTGGGCTGACTGTCCTATTTAAAGTCCTATTCTTCTAATAGCCTCAAAGGGTCAAGATCTTTATCATGCTCATCTGAGAGATGCTTTCAGTAGCATCCCATTTCTTGAGCCACGTTGGCTGAGGATTGACTGAAAGAGTAGTACTGCAAAACTCTGAACTGAGGTATCTGGTTTATTGAAGGCCTTCTAGGCAGGTACTGAAATTATGTATGGGAAGCTTTATATATGCTGGCAAAAAGCAGTGTTGGGTGGAGCTAAACCGCTCTTCAGAACCCTAATTTTGGTTGCTTTTTGGAGGTGGGTCTAGAAAATTAGATTGCATTTACAATTTGATTATACCACACTGCTTTTTTTAGGCTGAATCGTGGTGAGTGTTGGAAACTTGGCCAGTGTTCTTAGATCAGGGAGGATGAGGAAAGATGGTATTTTGGGTTTTAGCTAGGATTTCTAGGACTGATTTCCCAGATGGGAGTGCATGTAGCACAGTTGCTACTCTTTTTGACTGTGAGCTTTTGCTTACTGGACTTGTCTACCATATGTGTAAGTTAGTTTCTGAATTCAGACTCCCCTTGCATCTGGACCATTTGCTGTAGTGAGCTAAATGCAAGACAGCTAGCTTTTCAAGGTGAGCTTTTAAAGTCTGTAAAGATAAGTGTTGGCTTCCTTAAAGGAATTCCAAAAATAATGACCCATTTAATAGGCTGGGGTTTTGTGTCTTTTAAGGAAGCTTTTCACCCCATTTAATAGTCTGGGTTTTTTGTGTCTTTTAAGGAAGTTTTCACCTGCTGAAATTAATATTGTATGATATTAGATGTAGAGGTAGGAGCCTTGTAATGATTACTGCCATTTCTTTTACTGAAATCTGAATAAGTACACTCAGGTGCTGGGATAAAAGATTCAATGCCAGATGAGAGGAGATCACTTGGCAGCAGCTTGCTGGGTGGTCAGCCTGGAAATTAGCAGTTCTTGGATAAAAGGGGAAATGTATAGATTGCTGGCTGCCTGCTTCCCTTGGCTGTTGGTCTAAAGGCACTTCTTACTACTCAGTAAAAAAAACACTACAGAAGCCCCCTCAAGCCACCTGCGTTTTCAGGGAAGAGTGAGAGGGAATGAAGCTGGAAACCGTTAAGCTTGTGGCTTTTCCTCAATCTTGTAGTTCTACCATCGTGTTTCTGAGGATGCAGTGGAAGGAGGACAGTCACAGAGAATCAACAAGTGTGATGAGTGGTATATTGTTGATTCTTTACGAGGAGAGATCAGACTTGTGAACCAGGCAGTGTATGCTGTTGCTTATTGTTGGTGATGGATCCTTAGGCTTGCTGGGCACCAGTGTGAGAACAACCATATTGAATCAAATTGATTCCAAACAGAGTTAGGGGTGTGGGATGAGATTTAGATCCCAGTGCAATGAAGATAGCACTTTTTTAGTAGTCTTTTAAAAGTCTTAGGTAGACAAAAAATTTTCTCTAGTCTGAAACTGATTGGCCTAGGTGATTATTTTTCCCCACTCTTACTGGCCATCGTAGAAACAGACCTTCAGTTTTCCAGACTTCTCTTGCGAATTTCCATGTGTGGACAGGAGCCTTCACCTCAAACATGCTCCCTTCCCACTTCTGGTAGCCTGAAATTGTGGTCAAGCAGGAGTCAGCTACTTTGTATTGCTGCTTCTGTGATTACTGTTTGAATATTCATTCAAATACTGTATTTCATTGGGCCGTTTCATGAAGTAATAAGATACGTAGACATGTATGTTCAAACTGAAAAGACTTTATCTCAATTTTATCTGAAAAGTTTCTTTGTACCCCTCTTTGGAGAGCCCAGCTTGAGAGTTTTATCGTAGTCAGCATTGGACCCAGGCAAGATGTCACGGGTTAGAATGCTATGAAGCCTCTGCCATTACTTTAGTTTGTAAATCTGTTCTTCTGTATGCTGAATTATGGTGAAATTGAGCTTTCAGTTTCCTGGGTGACAAAGAGGAATTCCATTAATCAGTTGTGTTTCAGCGTTAGTCTGGGAGGGACGGAAAAAGGAATTATTGCATTAAACCAAAATACCTCTTCTGGTTTGGGGAAGAAATTGTTTTTCCATGAACACTGCTGAAATCCCTTAGTGTTTTTTCCAGCCACTCCAACAGCTGGAGGCTTTCAGAAGGTAATGGATGTCTTGTGATATAAAGACATTTCCATAGCATTAATTGTGCTGCGTAAATGCTTAAATGAAAAAAAAAAAAAAGGCAGAACAAAACAAACACAGAAGTTAATGGCTACTAGATAAAGAGCAGCTACATATGTTAAACAATGAGAAGCCGGGTGGTGCTTGTTTTGATTTGTTTGGTTTTTTGTCTGGTGGAAGAAGAAAAAGTCTGGACTTTTGACACCTGTGACACTTTCTGGAAGTTCTAAGCTTAAAGTGCAGCACAGTGAAACTTGATGACTGGGTTTTATTTGCACTCCTGGAGGAGCAGTGCCCTCTCTTGTACTGCCATGTTCACTTCAGATATTCTTTAATGACAGTGGTGTGCAGCTGCTGTAGGTCTGTATTGCTCCTACCAAAAGCTGTGTATCTAATAGCTTGGGGTTGTTTGGTTAAAAAGCAAACTACACCCTTATTGGTAGTGTGCTGGCTATTATGATCTTGTCTAGATTGCCTTTTATTGTGTAAGATACTAAGAAATCTTATCAACAGGACAATAAAGCAGATTTGGATAAAAATTGGTGACGTCTCATTGATTGTCATTATTTCAGGCAATGTTTTCAGTGCTGGTGACAAGAAAACTGTAAAATATAATCACAAGGAAAAATTAAAAATGCTTGAACAGATCTAAAGAATCAGCTAGCATTTTTGACAATGCAGAAACAGTGTCAAGTACTGTGATTGTGTTCTGCACAAGGAATATTTGCTGATTTACAATCAGACATACAAAAGGGATATTTAGTTCAGTACTGTTGTGTTTATTAACCTGTACTTATCAAAACCTTGTGATGCTGAAGTAGAGGAGGAATAGAAAAAAACAGATTAAGATTAAAGTGTGATACTGGAGGAGGAAGAACTCAACTCTCATCTTCAGTCTGTTTGCAGACTTCTAGTGCCGATGACTGAGACTTTCAAAGGATATAAGAAATGCACGTGCCAAATCCTTGGAAGTTTTTATGGAGGCTGCCCTCTGACTCGGTTTTCAAAGCTGCGTGAGAGCCTTTTAACGCTGGGCACTGACCTGTCTCTTTCAGGTCAGGTCCTCTAAAGGTGCCTCACCGCAGCCTGCCCTTCTCCCATGTTCCAGGGAGCTGTTTCACTGCAGAGGCTGCCAAGCGCAATTTGGTCTTTTTTTTCCATGGCACTTTCTGCTGCTCTGTCCAGCTCACAGTATAGTTCATCTGTCCTGCTGTTAACTCACCCGTAGGGCAAATGCAAGGCTTTGCTTAGGGGAAAGGTGAGGATGCCTTTACGAGACCGAAGGTATTGGCACGTGGATCTGTGCAGCCAGGTTGGTGAAGCTGATGTGCTTGTTCCACATCTTACCTCTTTCCTGCTCTGCATTACACGGTAGACCAGGCACGTGCATCGGAGTCACTCTAGCTAGCATTGAAATGCAGCTCACCTTATGTGGAAATACAATAAGCTCTGTAATGGTATGCAGGGACCCTGCAGAGGCAACTTAGTATGTGATAGTGGAACAGACAGGTATCTACTCAGTCCCATGCTGTGTCACCTGCTGGTCCTTCAATATAAACTCAATACCAGTGTGCAAATACAAACCTAGGGTTAGCTTGCTTTGGAAACTGTGTAGGTTCTTATCCACCGTGGCTGTGATATGTCAGGAACATAGCAAACTGGTGTTTGCTTAAGAATTATTTCTGCATTGCCTGAAAGCAGATTTCTCACTGAAGGTGTAAGGCATCTGGTGCTAGAAATAGAAATGTAAGATAATTTGGTGAATGCTACCCATTCTGGGTGACCTAGTGTCTCACTGTTTAACATAATACGCAGTATTGTATGATCAGGTGTTCATTGGGTGCCTTTAAAAACCTTTGCAATTTTTCTGTTCCTCAACCTGTAAAATCCTAGGAATAACAACTGAAAAACAATTGGTTTATTAATGTGTTACAAGAATTCACTGTGCGAAGTTCCGATGCTAATACTCTCCTTTTTCCAGCATGTCTTGAACAGTGGGATACGACGCTACCATGTTGCTCCCATCCTGTGCCAGCGGGCCAAGGTGGCCATGAGCCACTTTGAGCCTAATGAATACATAAATTATGAAAGGCTGGAGAAGAACATCAACATTGTCCGTAAGAGGTAAGAGCAGAGGAGGGAAGGGGGAGGGGTCAATGTGCAGAATTTAGCTCTGCAGTGATGGGAGAGGAGAAAAAAAAGTGTCATGGGGCCCTGGCGCAGGGCATATTTACGAGGGAGAGCAGCTTTGAGCAGTGGCGGTTGCAAATGTAGTGAAGCCTGAGTTGTGGTGTCTCCGCATAGTGGTGGGGCACTGTGGGAAGGGATGAAGGTTATGGTGAAGCGCTGTGACATGCAGAGAACCAGGCCAGTGCAGAGGAGGTGCTGGAAAGGGCTCTGTCCTCTTCATTTAATGCCCTCTTTGAGGAGCCTTTATATTGGCCCTTGGTCCTTTCTGGGGAGGCAGTGCGTGGGCAACGGTCATTACAGGCTAATGCTCCTTTGCGGTGTGTTTGGACACTGAATGTTCTCCTGTGTTCCACTGTAGGCGTTAGGCATGGAAAGGAGGGATAGGAATTCATAGCATATGTAAACGTAGTGACCTTAATCTGCTGATAGAGGCTTGTGTGTCTGCTAAATTGTCATGCCTGCTCCACTTACCTCAACAGTGGTTTGTATGACATGTCCTTCAGTCTTTGCATCCTTTGTTAAATGTGGTAGCTCTCATTTCAAGTCATTGTACCTACTTAGTTACTTCTCAGAAGATCTCACCACTGACATAAATAGGTTCCTCAACTGATGTAGCTGCAAGATGAAAGGTCTGAGGTCATGAAACTCCGCTTAGTTGTACTTGCTTGCTGTGGGATCTGGTATTTGTGCATTGAGTCTGACCTCTGCGTCACCTCCACATTTGCTCTCCTGAGGTATGACTCAAGAAATGAGCAGAGTCAGTGTTTCTTTTACTGTATAGATTATAAAAGAAAGCATGAAGTGACATCAATCCATGTACTTTTGAACTTTCTGGACTGAGCCCATGTTTTAGCTGGCTGCCAGTTGATATTTTCATGCTAGAAGAAGAGCACGCAGGTTTGTGTTAATAGGTCTTAACAATCTGAGTGATACAGGGAGACGTTCTGTTGCATGCTTAAAAGGGCAAATGTTGAAATACACGAGGTACAGATACTAAAATTGTTCTCCCCAGGCTGGACCGTCCCTTGACCTTGTCTGAGAAGATTGTATATGGACACCTGGATGATCCAGCAAAACAGGAGATTGAGCGGGGCAAGACCTATCTGCGCTTACGGCCAGACCGTGTGGCCATGCAGGATGCCACTGCTCAGATGGCAATGCTACAGTTCATCAGCAGCGGGCTGCCAAAAGTGGCTGTGCCTTCCACCATCCACTGTGATCACCTCATCGAAGCCCAGTTAGGTGGTGAAAAGGATCTTCGAAGAGCCAAGGTCACTATTGCAGAGGCTTAAATTCTGTCTGTTTGAAAGCCTCCTTCCAGTCAAAGGAAGCGATTTTTAAAAATTTTTTTCCCCCTAGAAGGACAGCCATGAATCAGAAATAGTAACAACAGATTGCCTGTGGTGGTCATCTCTGTAGATAGGTCAGATGCAGCAAAGAAACAGTAAATGGATTTTTGGGAGTTTTTCAGCTGAGATTCATCCGTTACTTGGTTTAAAGAACCATGAATGTAGGAAAAGTTAGTTTTAATCTGTTAATGATGGAAGCCTGGGTCATACGTGTGTTCTGGAGAGTGAGAAGATATTTCAGCTAAGGGAAGATGAAAAATCTATTTCAAAGGGGAAAAAAAGAAGACATGTTACTGTAGTGTGTCATGCTTTTTATGCTGTAGTATGGCAGTGTGAAAAGCTTCCTGAATATGTGTCTTTGCACTGGTGTGTCCTGTGAGGAGGGAGCAATTACTTGTTTTCCAAAGCATTTGCTAGTGATTAACTGAAGAACACTAACTGAAGCATGTGCAGCTTTAGGGCTAGTGAGGGTAGTAGAATGTGTGTAGAAGCATGGAGGATGTTGGGGGTTTTTTGAGAATTTCAGTGTGTTGTTTGTCCTGATTCACTGCCTTTTTAAAATTTCCTGCTCACTGTTTTACTGCTTATTCCTCCATAGAGGCTTCTCTTTATATAAATATAGACACATTCATCTCTGTCCAGCATATCACAATGCACCTGCCAAGGAAGAACATGCTCTCAGCATAGCAGGGAGGTGGGGGAAATCTTATTACTCCAAGTGGACCTAGCCTAAGTCCACTGTTAGAGCCAGGAGGAATTGTGCCTTGGACGTTGATACCAAAATTTACATACAGTAAACAGTTTGGGGGGGCTCAGCTGCATTTTAAGATTTTATCTGTTCTCAGAAACTCCTGATATTGAAGTAACTGCTTCTGGCTTCCTCCTTCAGGCCACAGTAAAGCAACTTGTACCACTCAGGAGTGAATTTAAAGGTTCTTGCTCTGCTTGTCTGAGTCCTAAGTTGTGCAATTAAGGATTTGGGACTTACTAAATAAGACAGTTTATTTTCTTCGCTTCACCTCCTGTCTTCCCCTTCCCCCTATTCCTGCATTTGTTCTCTGTAGTTCAATTATATTTGCTGCAGCCCTGAGTTGAGCCGAGTCCCTCCTTTGCCATCCGCTCTGAGCAGAGCAAGCAAAGGTCCTGCCTTCTTCTGACTGCTTCTGCTGCTGCCAGTTGGCACGCAATGAATGCTGGCAGGCCAGAGGGTGGTTTGGATCTGCTCCTGGCACATCAGCATGCTTTACTGGGGGAGGGATGCACAAACAGAGCGAAGTGACCCGACTCCAGTGGAAAACGAGGCTTAAAGAACGGCTGCTGCCTCATGGGAAACTTCAGCAAATGCGTGCTGAGACAATTCTTCCATTATCTCCAGTTTCCCCTTTCTCTTTATTCTGAAGCGTAGCTGCATGAGAGCAGCTTTTAAGAAACTCTGTCCTCCCAGCGCTTATCTTATCTACTCTGCCACTCCTCTGCCAAGAACTATCAGGACATAATAGTGTCATACTTCCTTGGTAACCGTGGTTCTTCTCACCAGCAATTTTCACGGTGTGACCTCCACCAATAATGGTGATAGTGCAGTAAGAAAGGCAGCATTGTGTGAGTCTTAAACAGGGGACTTAGTAGAATGAGAAATGACACCCACCAACTCCCCTGGCAGCGGGCAACTTCCAGTTCCATTTCTTAATCTGTAAAACTAAAGCCAAAATGCTTATCTAAGGTGTTTGAAATGTCTGCAAAGCATCTGTAAAGCAAAAGGAACAGCTGGTAGAGGAGGAAGGAAGGGCTAGAAGAAGAGAGGGAAACAGGTTAAAAAGAATCCCCGAGAATACAAGAAATGAGCAGAGCATTTCTAAATGCTTATTGACAGGGTTTTCCTTTAATTGTGCTATTTCCCTTGAGCTGTTTGGAATGGGAAGCTAAAAAAGATGCTTTAGTACAGCTACAAGTCGGGTGAAATAAAATGGCCTGTTACAACTGTCTGGCAAATGGTCTTGATTCCTTTTGGTTTTAAAAGTGATGTGCACCTCCCTCTAGCTGCTGCAAAACGGTGGAGCAAACTACAGACGGGCATGGGAGGGAAGGGGATGGGTTTGAATGGGCTTTTGATATATGGAAGAACGAAATGTGTTACTAACACTGTGCGTTTCCCTGTGTGAACAGGACATAAACCAGGAGGTGTACAACTTTCTAGCAACAGCAGGTGCCAAGTATGGAGTGGGATTTTGGAAACCTGGGTCGGGAATTATTCACCAGGTAAAGTGTGTGTGTGTGTGTTTGCAATCTTTGAACATGCAGTGGCTCTTTTATCTTAAGGTGAAGAGAGAGCTCAAGTGCAAACCCTTAGAGAATTTCTCCAGCTTAGGGAAACAACTTGCTTTCCTTGAGGTGGGTGAGGTGCTTGCTCTTTCTCTCTCTCTCTCTCTCGGTTATTGTGACAACAGTGGCTTTTCTTAAAGGTTATTTTGGTCAAACTGTAACCTGATGCGTGTTTAGGTACTGCCAACAGCACACCATGTGAATCACAGAAGCTTGAAATACCTTAACTGCTTGTGGGCTGGCTCCTCTTGGTACGATTGGGGCCATAAGGTGATTGATGCCGTGAAGCTGGCTACGTAGGGCTAATGTGAATCGGTTTTGGTGGTAAGGAAAGCAGCTTTGGGAACAGACTTTTTTTAGTGTTATTTTGCATGCATTTAGTTCCATAGAAACCAGGAGAGTATATGAGGACACCAAACAGAGCAGCTTGCTTTAGTTACTCAAGAATGGCAACACATAATGAGTTGCTGTATGAATTGGAATAAAATGCAAACCAGTTTCCAAGTCTGAGATTGTCTTCTTATAGCACTGGCATCTTAAAAGAATACGACTGTCCTGATAACTTACCACTTAATGAGGCTTTTTGTTTTTTAAAACCAACACCTCTGTCAGGATTTCCCTAACTTGCTCTTGGTTGATTTGTTTTGTGGGTCCATCCTGTAGGCATTTTTCATTGTTGCTCTGAGTCGCAGGCAGTAAAAATTGAAGTGCAGCATGAAGCAGAAGGAGTGGAGAGGAGAGTGGATGGCTGGTAAGCATCCTGTCAGCAGGGAACTTGTGACCAGGTGCAGTCAAGAGCTCTCTGCTATGTTTTCTTAGCTACAAAATGGGTTACTAAGGTTACTTTAACTTTAACTTGGTATGATGCAACAGAGAAGGGAAATAGAACAGGTGAACTCTCCGAAAGGTTATGGGAATGCCTCAGGTCATTTGTGCTCTGAAACCACTTGTAACATCTGTCACGTGGCAACCTACCTCCGTGCCGTGGTTACGGGCTTTCTTGTGGCTGACTTTCTGTGGCTGGAGAAAATTGGTCCGGCTCTATCACTCTATCAAAGTGAGGCCTTGAAAGTGAGCTTTCTTGCACAAGTATATTAGTGTGAGCTACAAGCAAATAAAGCTGGAAATACTAGAAACAAAGCCTTGGTCTTCTCGATAAAGGGCCACCTTAGTTCTGTCCAAGCTGTTCTGTGATGCGCACTCTGTGCTTCCAGAAAGGCTGTCCATAATGTTGGTACGGCACATATGCACTGAGAAGTTCGATAGCTTGAGTTCCCTACTGTGTTGCTACCATAGAAAACTCAAAATTTTTCATTAAGGAAGTGTTTTGTGGTTTTGTTAAGAGTTGAAGAGTCTTGCGTGGAATCAATAGCAGCAGTAACGGAAGGGCAGCCTCTTGGGTATTTGTGAGGGATTCTTCTGTGTGATTAGGTTTTGGCTGGCAGCATGGATTGGAGGAGCCTGTTGGTATTCTGCTGCTATGGGAGCATAAAGACTTTAGAAGGTCTTGCTAGCATTGGATAGGGGAACTGACTTGCTCAGCAGTTGACTAAGGGTGTAGAGACTATGATACAGACTCTTGAGCCCTAACAAAAGTGGCGCCTTAGCAAAAGCCTAAACTGGAAGGAAGGATTCTTTCAGTGAAAAAATGGAGACCACATTCTAAATGTTCTTACTATCCTGGGATGAGCAATGATCCTGGGGCTGAGTCTTGGTACTCCAGTCACTGTATCCTCTACAAGGAGTTTGAAACAGAAGTGAACTTCCGATCCAAACCAAATTCAATTACTTTCTTGCTACTGAAATCTGCAAATACAAACTAATCTAAATTCTTGTTCTTGTCTTCTTTCCTGATGTCTTCCCCTTCCTTTCCCATCAAACAAGCAAGCAAACAATCCATTTTTATTTTCAGATCATTCTGGAGAACTACTCCTACCCTGGGGTTATGCTGATTGGCACAGATTCACACACCCCCAACGGAGGTGGCTTGGGAGGAGTCTGCATTGGTGTGGGTGGAGCTGATGCTGTAGATGTCATGGCAGGAATCCCTTGGGAGCTCAAATGCCCAAAGGTAGGAGCAGAAGGAATACTAATCTTTGATGTGAAGGGCGAGATACAAGATGTGTAAGAAATGTTGATTTTCAGGCACTACATATATAAGGCACTATATACCATTACAGTCTCGTTTGTAATTGCACACTGGCTTAAACAGCTGGTCTGTGATTCATTGGTAGCTTTGAGTTTCCATTTCCAGCCTTTTTATTCAGGGACTGAGAGCAATAGGTGAGTATTGATCTCCCTTCAGTTGGCCCTGTCAGTGGTTTCAGCCCTTGCGCACATGTTCTGATACTGCAGGATTTTCTCCTCTTTGCTATTGTGACCACCCGGATTCTTAGGAAAAATTCTGAGGAATTGTTTCGGCTGCTGAAAGGAAATGGTGTCAGTATTTTATTTATTTTTTTCCATTAATGTTGCTCAGGTTATTGGTGTAAAACTGACTGGCAAGCTTTCAGGCTGGAGTTCTCCTAAAGACGTGATCCTGAAAGTGGCTGGCATCCTCACTGTGAAGGGTGGAACAGGTGCCATCATCGAATACCACGGGCCTGGTGTGGATTCAATCTCTTGCACCGGTAAGACAACACACATCTCTTATCTGAGTGGATTGTTGTTGGAGCTGGGTGTTGAGTTGTCTGGGGAGGCTGGGAAGGGAATCAGGGAAAAAGTACTAAATATTCTCCCTTAGCCTGGCCAGGCGATTAGCACACAGCAAACTGGGAGAGTGGTTGAGAGTGGTGTGACAAGATAGCACTCCCTCTCGGTGAAAAAGTAACCTCTGTCTGCTAAATCTTCTTATGACTTTGAGAACGCTGAACGGTTTATTGTGTAGAATCCTGTGAGATGGTGTGTCATGGTAAGAGTAAGGGTTGGAGGTATTCCAGTGTATGCTTAGAGATGTCAGAGATAAGAGATTACATTTTCATTTCAGCCTAAAACAGGCTGTGGATAGAGGAAGGAAACAGGTTGAAGGGGGCATGTGTGTGACAGCCGCTAAAGAAAAAGCGTTTTAGAAAAGCAGGGCAGAGGGGAGACCAGAAAGCAGCAGTTTGTAATGTGCAGTCTTACACTAGCTAGTTGTGGGTCATGGGTCCTGAATCTGAAGCAGCAAAAATTGCAGTTGTCTGTAATGATGCTAGCTAAGACCAAATTACAAGAAGTGTCCCTTCCTTTGGCTTGAAGTGCAGCCTTCAAGCTGGGCTTCTGCTCTTCTGGCTACAGCTTGGAATATTTGTATTTCCAAGCTGAGAGCAATTTGGGATTTTTCTTCTGTGAAATCAGAGGAACTTGACCTGTGATTTCTGCTTCTAGCTTGTTAAATGTAAGCCAGCAGCTTCTACAGCTTCAAGCTGTGTCCTTGAAAGGCATGGGTGATCCCAGTGCCGTGAGCAAATGTGTTTGGTTTTGGTTTTTTATTGTGGTCCGTCACTGGGAGCTTTTTATTCAACCCATTAAACTTCCCACAGATTTCTGGCTCTTCCCATAAAGATAGATGAGATGGTAGGGAGGGGCAGGACACTCGTTGCAGGTAGCAAAGACACTGATCACTGCTGTAAATGTATTCGGTGCTCAGTGCAGGCAGGGGGTTCCCTGTCATCCCTTCCAGTGTCTGCAAAAATCACTGTTGCTTTCAGCTCGCTCCTTGCAGAAAAGTCTGGTGGCAGGCACTGTATCGATCAGAACCGTTAGGGGCTGAGCCAGCCATTATGTAGCCAGTGTGTCCTCTCTGCTGTCCAGTCAGGGCATTAGCCACAGAAACCTAATCTCTCTTGGCTTTGCTGTCTTTTCCATGGACTGACTTTTGAAGAATCGGATTGCCTTGGACTTCCTCATTGACCCTGTGGTCTCTTCTCCCACTCCTTCTCTAGGAATGGCCACCATCTGTAACATGGGGGCTGAAATCGGAGCTACCACATCGATCTTCCCTTACAACGCTCGGATGAAGAAATACTTGGGCAAGACTGGGCGAGCTGGTAAGAGGGTTTGAGGATTGAAGTGGGTAGAAGTGTGGGTTCAAGTGGAGGTGTATTCTGGGAGCAGCATCCTCCTGCAATGGTGTCTGATGTGATTTCTGACCTTGCGTGGTCCTGAAGGTCATCTGGTACAAGCAGGGGGTCTGTAAATGAAGTGGCTGGGGAAGTAAACGGTGGACACCCTGTGTTTAGCCGTTCCAGGCTTTTTCTTTTCCCTCATATTTGCTGCGCTTTTCAGATTGCCTTCTTTCTTATTCCAGACATAGCTGCGCTGGCGGATGAATTCCAGCAACACTTGGTACCGGATTCTGGTTGTCAGTATGACCAGGTGATAGAAATCAACCTCAGTGAGGTAAGGCTTCCCTCATGCTTGCCTTCTCGGATGTTGTGATGTGACCCTGCTTTGTGTGAATGTGGACCAAGCTGGGAGTTCGATGCGGCACCCCTGGCGCTGTGCTAGAACATGTAACAAACACTCAGGTGTGCGTCACTGACAGCTCCTGCTCCAGTGTTTGTGTAGGAGAATCCTTTTTAAACAGCTTCCAGATAGAGCTATGAAAGGAATTGATCTGCTGCTGTGTTTTGGGGTTTTTCTTGGCTACTGTAATTTCTGACTTTGTCACTGTTTCTTAAAGCTGAAACCGCATATCAATGGACCTTTCACACCAGACCTGGCGCACCCTGTGTCAGATATTGGTGCTGTGGCAGAAAAGGAGGGCTGGCCTGTTGATATCAGAGTTGGTGGGTAGCATTTGCTCTTTCCTCTGCCTTCATCCTTGTGGCGTAAATGTTGCTGTCTTGGGATAAGCGGTTGGTCGCATAGCTTGGGATCCAATCCTTTAATTACTGCTGTATGTCCTTTGACTTCGCTGCAGTGTCCTCTCTTCATGGCCTTATGAATTTGCTGGGAAGAGTAGTAACCACCTGGGCCAGATGTGTGGGATGAGATCTGAGATAGTTGGAGGGATTTTAAGCTCAAGAGGCAGACGAGGTTTTTTTTTCCTTCTTGGAAACTTCTGAATGATCGGGTTGACAGGAATGTTACTTTTTGTTAAAAGTCTGTTGCATGGATTTGTCTATTGCAAAGATCTGTCAGGAGCATGATTGTCAGTCCTCCCAGCGGTTGGCTGTTGAGCTCTCAGGTCATAGTCCTAAAGAGCAGGCTTGGATATTTATATACTCACCTGTGGGATGGTAGCCTGTCGGCTGGCTTCTCAGGTGTTGCCTGCTTGGGGGAATGAAAAGAATCCAAATACGTTGTGAAGGCCACATACCCGGTGGGAAATGTGTTACTTGATAGTGTTACAAGTAGGATCAAGAGCAGCTGTAACTGGATTTATTTTTTGCTGGTTAGCACCAGAATGTTGTCAGGATGGTACAATATGTCCTCATGGTCTTCATACTGTAACAAAGGACGCTTTCTTTTCATCAGTTCCTCCATTTCTTGCCATCTTTGATTTGAAGCCTTTTCTGTCTATGTGGAACAATAACTCTCTGTGGTAATTTCCTTAACCAAAGTGCAAGTAGGTGACACTTGGATCTTGTAAAACAATAACCAGACTAGTGACCAGGTTCTGATCGTGCAACCTCCAAAACTGGATGGGGGGTCGCTTGTGACAGCAGTATATTGCTGGGAGGTTTGGCAGTGTTAGTACCTGAAACTGTTTCAGATTCCTTTTCAGCAGGGAAGGTGGTTGTCCCTTGTTTTTTCTGCTGAGAGATGGGTCAGGGAGAAGCTTCCTAGAACCAGGGCTGCAGTAACCACCTCCCTGTTTCTGTCAAAACACCACAGGCTTGATTGGCAGCTGCACCAACTCCAGCTATGAGGACATGGGACGCTCTGCAGCAGTGGCAAAACAGGCACTAGCGCATGGCTTGAAGTGCAAATCGAAGTTCACAATCACACCGGGCTCAGAGCAGATCCGTGCCACCATTGAAAGAGACGGTTATGTGAGTATGGCTGCTCTTTACACTTCCAAACAGCAAGTGTTCACCTCTTTTTCCAGACAGTGTCCGGAGGTAATGAATGGAAACCTTAAACTTGGTCTTCACTTATCGCTAGAGCTGCAATTACTACGTAGTAACCAGCCTTGTGTTACTGTACCTGTGGGTCATGCTGTCACCTTGACAGTGTTTTGACCTGGTATTTTCACTACCTGGGCGTATAAGAACAGGATTGGAACTGGACAGATCTGAGACAGTTACCAGAAACTGGGGCCCTGAGGTGATAAAAGTATGGATAGCAAGGGCTGCCTCATGCTCCTGGGAGTCTGTGGATGGCCATGGCTGATGAAGGGCTAGTACCCACCTGCAATCCAGTTTTCTTCTTCAAGTACAGTTTAGGATGCGAGCAAGCCCTTTGTCAGAAGGTGGTTCCTATTTTAGACTAAACATACAGCAAAGCTTGTATTTGTTTTAAAAGGAGTGTTTCTGTAGAGGAACCATCACCTACTTTCTCCCGTTTTCTGTGCAGAAAATTACGTTTCAATTCATTCTAGTATTTAGTAAATGTTAGATGCTGTCACAGGGCTTTACATGGGATATGTCCAGCCAATACTTAATGCCTCCTCCAGCCAAGTCCACAGTCCACTGTGGTACCTTTCCTTAACAGCTGCCCTCTTAATTGAATCGTTTGCTGCACGGACTGAGCAGGCACACACACTTGCTTGCACTGTCACCGATTCTCTCCTTACACGGACAAGCAGCGCGTAGGATGTTAATCAGACAAGACACTGCACTTCAGTCAAATATCTGCAAGTAGCTGGATTGCTCAATTTGAAGTAGGTAGAGGGTGAGAACATCATGGCAAGTCATTCTGTGCTCTTCCCCGGTGTTAACTTACAGCTTTACTGGGGTCATACCCCATGTATTTATAAAAGTGACTCAGAATTTGCAAGTGAAACAAGGAGGGGAATTTTCTCAGGCTTGGTGCTTTCTGTTAGAAGGCAGATGTCCTCTTCCCCTGAAAGAGCAACCCCAGAAACTTACTCCAGACTTTCTACTAGTAACAAAGTTGTTCTCTGCCCCTAGGCGCAAATCCTGCGAGATGTTGGAGGGCTGGTTCTTGCCAACGCTTGTGGGCCATGCATTGGCCAGTGGGACAGGTAAAGTGAAAGACAGACCTCGCTCTATAGCTTTGTATCCTTTTAGCTCCTAAAGTGCTCTGTGAAGACAAACTTGATTGTAAATATATATAACACACTGGGAATTAAAAATAAATGCTTAAAACCCCATTATTGGCCACAGCTGTCTGATATGCACTGGAGGAGGAGAAATGGAAGACCATAGATTTATATTGACCCTTTGGATGAATGAAGCTGCAGAATGGCCACAAGGCTGCATGTGGAGACTTCTTATAGTAGGCAAAAAAAACGGGGAGAGAGATTTGTTACCTGTGAGAGGGTGGACTGGAAGTTTTATGGTCCTTTTAAAATAGAAATGAATTGGTCCAACCTCAATCATTGGAGTGGCAGGGAGGAAAATTCCCAATGAAGGGATGTGAGAGATGTTCTCATGTGGCTTTTTCGTTGCTAATGGTGGGATGTCCAAAGGCGATGTACTTGATTATTGTTTAGAGAGTTCAACAGTGCACAACATAGGCTATGAAAACTACTCCAGGAATCGGTTTCTGACTTGGTTTTGCACTGTCCTTGTTTTTGAGTCTGTGCTTAAGGGAGGAAAAAACGTCCAGGCACTGATTCATGTTTCCAAAAGATAGTGGTTGCTACCAAAACCGAGCTGGGGGATTTTAGCAGTGAGACGTCTAGAAGCAATATTTGGATTTGATGAATGTGTTTGTTTCTTTCACAGAAAGGACATCAAGAAAGGAGAGAGAAACACAATAGTTACGTCCTACAACCGGAATTTCACAGGTCGCAATGATGCCAATCCAGAGACTCATGCGTTTGTGACCTCTCCAGAGGTAAGAAAGAGCGAGAGGGGGATCGTGGAATAGTTCAGGGTGTCTTGGGAGCTAATTCCTCTGCCTGCAGAAGAGACCCCGTGTAGCTTGGTTTGTAGCTTGGCTGCTGGCTTTGAGGCTGTTAGGCATAGGACTTCCACATGAAGAGATGGAGAGGGGGAGAATATGCCTTTAAATTTGTCTTTTCTTGTTTGTTTGTTTTTTCCTTTCAGATTGTCACAGCCCTGTCCATTGCTGGCACTCTAAAATTTAACCCTGAGACAGATTACCTGACAGGAGCAGATGGGAAGAAGTTTAAACTAGAAGCACCTGATGCAGATGAGCTGCCCAAGCTGGTAACTGCTTGGTCTAGAGACGGAGGGAGGGAGGGAGGGAGGGGAGGCCTGTCACTGGTAGTGTTTTATATGTAGTAAGGGAACTTCCATGCACTGATCAGTTCTTTAGTGTTAAAGCTAGAACAGGTGCCGTTGCCTGTATTGGCTTGTTCTCTTACTGTGCTGTTGGGAATGGCTGAGGCTGATGATTTTCCTTTCTTCTTTGGAAGGAGTTTGACCCAGGCCAGGACACCTATCAGTACCCTCCCAAGGATGGCAGTGGGCAGCATGTGGATGTGAGCCCCACCAGCCAGCGCCTCCAGCTTCTTGAGCCCTTCGATAAGTGGGACGGCAAGGATCTAGAAGACATGCTGATCCTCATCAAGGTCAGGAGCGAAGTCGGGGAACACCAGCTGTGATGGGCCTGCTGGAACAGGGGTTTGCACATCAATTGCCAGAAGCTTTGGATGTGCCTTTGAGCTCTTTGATTCCCTCTCCTACAACCACGTTGTTATGAAGCAAGGGTCTTCCTTCCTTTGAGGTGTTTCCTTCTGATACTTCTTTCTATTATAACTAAGAGACTTTTCTCCTTTGGGCTAGTGGTTAGCTAATATCATGAAAAATGAACCTTGTTGTACCATGTAATACAATCCTACCCATACTGTGCAGTCTGCGGAATTTGTCCCAGTTATAGCCTGCAGTGGAAAGGTGGATGGTTTGTTTAATTGCTGTCTCTAAGGTGTGTTTTGTCTGAAAGGAGGTCATTAGGAACTTCTCATCCATCAGTATGAGTGTTCTCTTCCCATTTTATAGAAAGAGAAATTACTTCACAATAGTTAAACATTGCATTTCAGTCTCTTAATGAAGACATGGGTTTCTCCTCACTACCTGTGGTGAGTTAACAGGATGAAGGCTTCAGTTAATACAGTGATGGGTTCTGAAATGCAATCCCTTAGGAACTGACCTTCAGGAGCATTGCTGATTCTCAGTGGCAGAGAGTTGCAGGTGCTCACAAGGGCCATACTGAGCCATGCTTGGGTTTTTGACACAGCCAATTCCTTTGCAAGCACTTTGGCACTTACCAGTTGGAAGGCCATTATCTCTAGGTGGGAATTCTGTTCTTACAAGCTGAGAAGGCTTATGTGCAGGTTGGGAACTTAGAGGAAACACCTGGCATCTTGCTGAACTCTCCCAGCAGGGAGGCTGAGTTGTGGCAGGGAGGGCTTAATTGCTTTTTGTACCTGAAGAACCTGCTGCTGAGGGAAGTGAGGATGTGGCAGAAGGTGTCGTGGCGAAGCTCATTTTTGTAATTTACCCTTTGGAACACGGATGTTCTTCCTACCCGATGCATGCAGAAGGACCACTGTGCTCTGCCTTAGAGTGTCTTGATTCTGTAACAGATGCAGTTATTTTGGGTTAGTGCCCTTAAAAAGAGATGTGAGGATCCTTCAGAATCAAAAGCATTGAGGAAAGGTCAAGTCACTGATCCATCCTAAGACATTCTTCTCTTCTACTACTCTTAGGTAAAAGGGAAATGCACCACTGACCATATTTCTGCAGCCGGACCGTGGCTCAAATTCCGTGGCCATCTGGACAACATCTCCAACAACCTGCTCATTGGCGCCATCAACATTGAAAATGGCAAAGCCAACTCTGTGAGGAATGCATTAACCCAGGAGTTTGGGCCAGTCCCAGACACAGCCCGTTACTACAAGGTGAGACTTTCCCCTGACACATCTATTTTAAGAGGATGTTTATACACTTTGGGCAGCCTGTGCCAAGACTGAGGATCTCACCCTCCTGCTCCCAAGTGACAGCAGCTGTGAATTCCCTCAGCGTTGAGGCTTTTTCTTGGGACTTACTCTGGTGATGGCAGTTCCTGTAGGAGATTCTCTCCCCACCTGCTACAGGGAAGAGGGAGGAGGATCTTGTGACCCAGAGAGGACCAGAAATCGTAGACAAAAGGGGGAGAACTCCTTTAGGCACTGCACGCCTTACAAGGCATAGGTGTCATCAGACTGCAACTAAATCTTGCCTCCTGGAGCGTTTCACCTGTGACTAGTCTAATGTTTAAATAAATTCTAATCTTGTCCCCTTCATTCTTTAAAACTTGGCTTTGAATCTCAAGAAATGTCCTGTTACCCTCTGGACGGCTTGGCAGTGGTCTCAGATTGGTTCTTCCAATAGACAGAAGTTGAAATTTTTCCATATCACTTCCAGGAGTAGAGCAGGGATCCCAGCTGGTGTGAATGCTGCTCTGGCACAGGACCATTTAAGGAAGGGTGGCAGCAAGGAATTGCTCTGGGTCCCGAGGGCAATCCTCCTCAGCCCTCGTTAGCAAAGGGTGGCAGTGCCTAACTGCTGTGAAGTGCTTAATTCCTTTATGTCTGTCCTTCCTCAGAACCGGAGGGAGCCTTCTGGGAGAAGGTGTCCTGGCACAGCAATGTCAGTAGTGTAGCACTGAAATTAGATGTGTGAGTGGGCTTTGCCACTGTCTCCCATCTCATCCTCATAGGTAAGCTCAGGAAGTGTGGGATAGATGAGTGGACAGTGAGGTGGATTGAGAACTGGCTGAAGGACAGAGCTCAGAGTTGTGATCAGCAGCGCAGAGTCTAGTTGGAGGCCTGTAACTAGCAGGGTTCCTCAGGGGTCAGTACTGGGTCCAGTCTGATTCAACATAAGGGAGAGTGCACCCTCAGCAAGTTTGCTGATGA